AAATCTGCAAAAGTGTCAACAATTCTGTGTTTTTCAGACAATATGGGGTGCTGTGTGTACATTAATGAGGGAAAAAAAAGAACTTGAATGATTTTAGCAAATGGCTGCAATATAACAAAGAGTGAAAAATTTAAGGGGGTCTGAATACTTTCCGTACCCACTGTATGTATTGTTTATTATCTTTTGAGTATCATGATTATCGTCAACACCGGTCCTTCAGATTTTGAGCAATGAAGATTAACCATAATATATTCCGTGTATTTTTTGTTTTATTTTTATTTTTTGTTGTAGCTTTAACACCATTTATGAACAATAGTAACAGGAATGATGGCAAGAAGTACAAAAATAATACTTTTATCATGTTTCTCAAACAAGTCACCAAGGCTGCATTTATTTGATTAAAAATACAGTAATATTGTAATTGTATGGTATTGTTATTACCATTTAAAGTAACTCTTTTTTTAATTTTTATAGATAAAAAAAAAGTAATTTATTCCTGTGATTCATCATTCTAATATGCTGATCTGTGATACATTTGTGAAACTGTGATACATTTTTTCAGGATTCTCTGATAAATAGAAAGTTCAAAATAACAGCATTTATTTGAAATAGAAATTATTTGTATCAAGGTAAATATCTTTACTGTCAATCAATTAAAATGCGTTCCTTGCTGAATAAAAGTATTAATTTCTGAAACGGTAGTGCAAGTCTGCCTATAAAACAGGCCTTTGTTTATTATCTTTCTCTGCAACTGTAAAATCTGCACTGTATCTGTCTAAGACACACAGTCACATAATCATGACACAGTTAAGTCAGGTGGGCAGAAGTGCTGACAAAAGTTATTGTGGCATGATGTGTCTGAATGACATTCCCACACTGACCTAAATAGGCCATCTTCATTTCAATCCAATATAATGACTTGCCAATCACATGGAAAACCAGAAAAGCAGGATGTTCTCATTGTCACGAGATGGTTTAGTACAGTACAGAAGATTCCAGTTCCACAAATCTACATGCCAAGTCATATAATGACGACGATATGACATGTATTTTCAGGTTTGCTCCAAAGGCAATGAATAACAAGGTCATGCAGTCGATTACGCATGTGTCTTTTGTACCATTATGTTGTTTATCTTGTTAATTGTGTGCTCTGGACACTTTTGGGCCTCTGAGGGAAGACTGTGATGGCACATTTGAGCCAGGTCTGTCTTCAGGCCATACATATTCATGGGCAGCCTGTCGAAATCGCTGAGTTTGTCCATATTTTACCCAGCGCTGGGTTGTATTTAACCCAGCATTTTTTAGAATGTAGAAGTTAATTTAAAAACATTTTACATGTATGCAAAAAAATAAATAGTAATTGAATTTAAGTTTGGGCTCTGTTGTTAACTGTAACCTTATAGTGATGTAAAAGGGCTCCCTATAGTTTAGTGCAGAAACTGAGATTTTTATCCCTAAGAAAATTTTAATTATAGCTGAATTTAAAGAAAGAGCAATTTGTTCAGTAAACCATTGTTTAATTAAAAAAAATTATGTTTAGTTAAAAATGTCTGTATAGTCTGGGGAAGAGTGTAATTCAGGGAGACAGTAGCAGAGGCGAGAAAGTGTCTAAGACTGAGAGAAGAAGTAAATGCACTGCAAAAAATGGCTTATCTTACTTAGTATTTTTGCCTTGTTTCTAGTCAAAATATCTAAAAATTCTTAAATCAAGATACTTTTACTAGATAAGCAAAATAACTTAAGGCAGTCTTGTTTCAAGGGGGAAAAAACTAAATTAAGTGCATTTTGATCAAAACAAGTAAAATTATCTGCCAGTGGGAATTAAAAAAAATTATGTTTAGTTAAAAATGTCTGTATAGTCTGGGGAAGAGTGTAATTCAGGGAGACAGTAGCAGAGGCGAGAAAGTGTCTTAAGACTGAGAGAAGAAGTAAATGCACTGCAAAAAATGGCTTATCTTACTTAGTATTTTTGCCTTGTTTCTAGTCAAAATATCTAAAAATTCTTAAATCAAGATACTTTTACTAGATAAGCAAAATAACTTAAGGCAGTCTTGTTTCAAGGGGGAAAAAACTAAATTAAGTGCATTTTGATCAAAACAAGTAAAATTATCTGCCAGTGGGGTAAGTAAAATATTCTTAAAACAAGAGTATTTTACGTACATACTCTTAAACGTAAAGCCATTTTTTGCAGTGTGTGGATGGAAATGTCCTGCAGACTCACCTGAGGCAGGATCTCTCGTGCGAGACTAAGAGCCTCTTTGTGAGCTGCGTCTCCTGTCTGGTTCTGTGGCACGGAGCGGTTTACCAGCCCCAACTCTGCAGCCTGTTCACCCCCGACACGCCGGCCTGTAAAAATCAGCTCCTTTGCGATGGCAAAGCCGACTGTCCGGGGCAACCTTTGACTGCCTCCTGATATACATACACAAAAATGATGGTTTAGTTATGGTGCCTTTAACAAGTAATCAGATACTTCATTAAGTGTTCCATTTTACAACAAAACTGGTTCTTTGTACTTTGTTTTACTGAACCTTAAAATGTATCATTTTGATATGTGACATTATATTAGATAAAAAATACAATACATACATATATATATATATATATATATATATATATTATAAAATAAATCAAATGTATGAAAAATATATTAAACATACATTTAAAAAAAAAAACATTTGGGGGCGTTTGTTCCCGTTTTTATTTTCACTTTTGTTTTCATTATAATTGTATAGATAGATAGACAGACAGACAGATTTCTCAAAATATCTTCCTTTAAGTTCCACAGAAGACATACAAAGTCATACAAAGGCATTTGTTTTCATCTATGTAGACTGCAACATATTTTTTTAGCATGTCATGTTGAAATAAAAAAAATACAGAGATTGTATAAGCTTTTCAAAAAATGTTCACTCTTCCATTTAAGTCTATCTGTCCTGTTATGTCTGTTAACTTCCCATTTATCTGTCTCTGTTCTGTCATGGGACTGCCATCTAGCTGTCTGTTTGGCTTATTATTTCAGTCGCTCTATCTATTCATTATTTTTTCTCACCAGCCCCAGGGAGTAATCCTCGCGTAGTTTCAATCAGGCCCATCTGCGCTGAATGTGCTGCAAAACACACACGCAATCACAGAAAAAGGTCAGATGAAGGACCCAGCCTCCTCCACATGCCGTGACTGCAGAGATTCCCCACTCCATGACGTGCCAAACAGAATGACTACAAATCACGCAAACCCACACCCGCAGCCGTGATCTAGCCCCAGAAGGTCAGAGCATCCACTCACCTGCAGTGCGAAGGTCACACGCCAGTGCCAATTCCAAACCGCCCCCGAGAGCAAAGCCATCCACTGCTGCGATGGTTGGCATGGGCAGCGCAGCTGGCACATAATGGACACACACACGGATCAGGTCATAGATTACATTAATGAGAGAAGGCTTCAAAACAGCTGGACCTCTCAACACTCAGTGTTCAATGCTGACACACTTATATAAAGAGGGGACACATTGGAAAAACTGGGATTCAAAAGGTAATTGGAAACCTGGAAATAATAGAAAAGTTACTTGAAAAGTGCATCCTGTGATGCAAAGCTGAATTTTCAGCATCATCACTCTAGTCCCATGATCCTTCAGAAGTCCCTGAAATATGCTGATTTTGGTGCTCAATAACCATTTCTTCATTATTCTCAATGTTGAAGGCTTTTTTAAGCTTGTTAAATGCTGTCGACAAAACAGTCTATGTAAAAATTGAGCAATTATTTACTTGTCTTCCTGTCGTGTTGTAGAAAGGGTCCAAATGATGGCACTTCCAGGGTGACGCAATTATGGAGGGTTACATTTTTTGTAATGGGAGAGTGACTGGATTGCATGCAATTGTGTTACACAGATACATATGTTTACGGTTACTAAAATAAGTTGGCAATTAAAATGAACATGAAGAAAATGCCACATTATACAAAAAAAATTCGATAATCATGTTCATTTTTCAACTCAACTTTTTTTTACTTAAAGCAGCACTATGTAACTTTTGGTGCTCTAGCGGTTAATAAACAGAACTGCACACATCCCGCAGAAGAACATTCCAACCGGAGCTACATCTCTAAGTTTATGTCTATGGTGATTCACGCAGGTATGTGTTACGCCGCAGTGGTGACGACCTGACCAGTCTACAATAGTCCAAATATAAGTACTTATTATAAGTGTACCGTAGTGATTCGGAATAAGACAAAAACACAGTTTGGAAGATGAATTCATGATGTACTCGCTCATTATATACATTTAGCAAATTTTGAATTCAGAAAAAGTTACATAGTACTGCTTTAAACTGTTATGCTGATAAAATTGTTTGTAATGAAAAAAAGTATACATATATTTTAAATGTTTAAAATTAGAAGCATTTCACTCCATTGTATAATCACTCATTTCTGTATTTCTGATACAATGCTACTAGAAAATTGCATAGAGAATATTCTTTCTCAACCTTCTGCTTATAAAACAGTAGCATTTCCCTAAATGGCAAACTATGCAAAAACTGAGGGCACAGAGAAAACGCACGTACTGTGTGTTTATTATTATTATTATGCATATCCAATCATTCTCACCTCCAGCCATAATCGTATTTGCAGCTGGGAAACAATTACCTTTTCAGTGCAACACTATCAGAATTCAGAGTTCTGTATCATCACTTTCTGAACAGGATTACAGTCATTTTGCAATATTCATGAGAAACATCAGCCTTATGTCTCACCGATGTCATTCATTAGTGATCGCAGGCCATGTACAAACAGCTCTGCCTCAGGGTTACTCATCTGAGCTCTCTCCTTAAGATCTGCTCCTGTCAACACATAAAAAGACTGATTATGACATATGCAAATATCTGATTCGACTCCTCTTTATAATACTGATATTTCCTGTAAAACAGGAGCTTAAGAAAGTATTTTGAAAAATTACATCATCTTTAAAGTGGGTTTGTGTGACAGATTCCTTTACAAACCTGCACAAAAGACTCCAGGTATCAAACTCTTGAAGACCACCACACGAACTGCTGCGTCATGATGCAACGATGACACCAGCGCTCTCATCTACACAGAGAGAGACAGATATTGATGCACATATAGACAGAAAAAGACTAAAAAAAACGGAAAGATATCGAATTCATAAGAAACATCAGCCTTATGTCTCACCGATGTCATTCATTAGTGATCGCAGGCCATGTACAAACAGCTCTGCCTCAGGGTTACTCATCTGAGCCCTCTCCTTAAGATCTGCTCCTGTCAACACATAAAAAGACTGATTATGACATATGCAAATATCTGATTCGACTCCTCTTTATAATACTGATATTTCCTGTAAAACAGGAGCTTAAGAAAGTATTTTGAAAAATTACATCATCTTTAAAGTGGGTTTGTGTGACAGATTCCTTTACAAACCTGCACAAAAGACTCCAGGTATCAAACTCTTGAAGACCACCACACGAACTGCTGCGTCATGATGCAACGATGACACCAGCGCTCTCATCTACACAGAGAGAGACAGATATTGATGCACATATAGACAGAAAAAGACTAAAAAAAACGGAAAGATATCGATTTGAGGAAGAATTCCGGAAGAGATATGACTGATTTATTTAAGCCCTGACACACTTTTGCCAGACTTTCTTTTGATAAACTGATCAAATACAAATGTTAAAGAAGAGTTCTTATACTACTTTCTGGGAACAGAAAAAATAAAATAGACCGAAATGGAACATCTGTTACTCAAGTTAACCAAGTTAATATTTAAAAACCATTCCAGCGATTGGTTGCAAGTTGAACAGTTAAAGACTATATATGTATAGTCATACATTCTTTAAAACGTGTTTATTTATTTATATTAACGCTGTCAAACCATTAATTGTGGTGTGTGTACTGTATATATTTATTATGTATATATAAATATACACACATACAGTATATATACTGAAAATATTTACATTGCATATATTTATTTTCATATAATTCATAATACAGCTGAGGTCAAATGTTTACATCCCCCTTTCAGAATCTGCAAAATGTTAATTATTTTACCAAAATAAGTAGGATCATACAAAATGCATGTTTTTTTTTGTCTTCTGGGAAACATGTAACTATGTTCTGTAGCCTCTGAAGGGCAGTACTAACTGAAAAAAGAAGAAGAAGATATTTAGCCAAAATCAAAAAATAACAAAAATGTACACCATCTCCATTCTGTTCAAAAGTTTGTCTTCTGGGAAACATGTAACTATGTTCTGTAGCCTCTGAAGGGCAGTACTAACTGAAAAAAGAAGAAGAAGATATTTAGCCAAAATAAAAAAATAACAAAAATGTACACCATCTCCATTCTGTTCAAAAGTTTTCACCCCCGGCTCTTAATGCATGTTTTTTTCTTCTGGAGCATCAGTGAGCATTTGAACCTTCTGTAATAGTTGCATATGAGTCCCTCAGATGTCCTCAGTGTGACAAGATGCATCTCAAAATCATACAGTCATTACTGAAAATACAGAAAAATGCAGGAAAACCAAAGATTTTGTGGGACCTGAAGGAGTTTTCCTGAAGAACAGCAGGCGGTTTATCTGTTCAGGACAAACAAGGGACTCATGAACAACTATCACTAAACAAAAAAGCACAGCTGTGGATCATTCAGGTAACAACACACTATTAAGAATTTGAACGGGGTCATTTTTATAAATTCAGCTATTATTTTCTCTTATGTAAACATCTTTTATGGGAAATATCTTATTCAGGTCAGTACTAAATAAACAACAACATGCATTTTGTATGATCCCTCTTATTTTGGTAAAATAATTAACATTTAGCAGATTCTGAAAGGGGGATGTAAAATTTTGACCTCAACTGTATATCTACATTTAATATATAAAAGTAACATATTTTTCTTAAATATACATGCATAGGTGTGTATTTATATATACATATTATAAAAACTTTCATTTTGGATGCAATTAATCGCGATTAATCGTTTGACAGCACTCATTTATATGAATCTGTTATCGCTAAAGATCACAAAAAGAATGATTCCTTGTGACACGTGGTGGAAATTTAACACACCAGTAGGATTACTGAGAACTGGGGGCTTGATCATCAGTCATCATTGGGTTAAACATGAAACAAACAGGAATATTTATGCATAACACGAACAAAGGGTGGATAGGAAGTTCACGAACTAGCTCTTCTGCTTCCTGCACGCTTGAGTTTGATACTGTAGGACAGGAGGGTTTCTGCACACTCACCTGACCCACAAACACCCGTCCCAGTGAGTTCCTCAGCCTTTCACGACACATCAGCACTTCCACTATACCTAACCAGACAAGAGAAAACAGAGAAACTGAAGGAGTGGTTACGGTTGCAGTTCTCAACTGGTGGGCTGTGACTCAAATATGGGTGGCTTTTCTGTTCTGATGTGATCACAGTGTAAATGATACCAAATTAAATAAGTAATTGCACTATGGCTGAACTCTTCATATGAGACATATCAGTCTGAAATAAGCTCTTTTGCACTACAAATCATTTTTTTGCACTACAATCATCACTATATCTGTTGTTTACTTTACTGGTTTGCACTCTATCTTCCATATGCCTTGTGCTTTATATATATATATTTACATTTTACCTTATTTGTATATTTGTATAGTTGTATTTTGTATTTTGTATTTAATCTGTATTTATGTTATCTGTATGCACCCAAGGGTCTGAGAGTAACGCAATTTCAATTCTCTGTGTGTATGTGGTGTACATGTGGAAGAATTGACAATAAAGCAGACTTGACTTGACTTGAGATGCAATAAACCATTAAAATGTACTTGCAAAATCTGCCTGTGAGGAAATATTTCACTCTCTTGAAATTTCCCTCTTGAATCACATGGAATCCTACTGAAATTACAGAATTTTTGCCAATGAAATGTCTCAGAAAACCACTAAATCTAACCAAGCTTTAGTATGCTTTGCTATGTAAACCCTGCTTGCAGCTATATTCTTAACTTTTTGGTACTTGGGTCGCCACTCAATATCCAAAATAAAATCTGGGTCCTGAAGTACAAATTAGCTCGGAACCACTAACCTGCATGACATTCAGAAGAAAGTCTTTTTTTTTCATCCTCATAAGAGGGCTTGTCATTATCAAAATGAAACGATCTTGAATACAATGTTTCTAATCTGATCAGAGACCAAACTTTCATTGAGTAAACTAAACGACCCTTCATGGGTCCTTATAAAAGGCTACAAGTGCAAGAAACAACAGATGAAAGGTGATTAAGCAGCACACCTGCTGCATGCACAATGACATGCTGATATGATATAGGCTAGTGTGATAAAAGAGATATGATCTCTCCTTGGCCATTGTTCCCTTAAACATGTTTGTCACATTGTTTCACTTCCCAAAATTAAAGGTGGAATAACAAATAGGCCTACTACCATGATGTATAAATATATATTTAAAAAAAAAAAGACCCTCTAACATTAGCGTTCCCTATACAATCTACTTGTTCTCTTTTATTTAAAAAAAAAAAAAAAACTTGCTACGTATAGTGTGTTAGGGTCACAGCACTTGCATATTATTGCTCTTTTGTTGGTTTTGATTGCTTCTATTGTCCCTTTGGATAAAAGCATCTGCTAAATGCCTAAAAATGTAAATACTTTTTTATTGTAATCATTTTAATACGCATCATACATAATACTTAAAATTATAAATGCATACATTTATATTTATAATATTAATAAATATAGGCTATAAATGTCCTCTAAATTTGTAACAATTATCTGGACTTTTCAATAACAATTGTCCAATTCCCATTACCGTTGGGAACCTATTATTCAACTTACATATATTTCTCATAAAGAGTTGATAATATATTAAATATAATATGCCATTATATGTATATATATATATATTAAATGCATAATGTAATATTTAAACAATTTCCAGGACTTTTCCATAACAATTTCGTATTCCATCATATTACAATATCCATGGCGGTGTGAATACAACGTACAGTAGCCTATGCAAAACCTGAAGTCCCAAAAAAAAAAAACGTTCGCTTTTGTTTTCAAAGGTTTGGGAAGTTACGTTACGTTAACGGTCCAGATACACCTGTGAGGTGTAGTAAGGTGTAGTAAGGTGTAGTAAGGTGTAGTAAGGTGTAGTAAGGTGTAGTCAGGCGTGCTATACGCATCTGCAGGCAGGCACAGTATTATGTGTTTTACTTGATCACCTACCGTGGTCTTCACCATCAAGCCGACTCAGCCGTACTTCAGCCCGATCAGCAATGGGCCCATCAGAGCACCACGAGCGGGTCTGGGGAAAGGAAACCCGGGGGAAAAGACGCTTGATCGGCCTTGCAAACACACCGCGGGCTGCCATCAGCTGCACACCGGTCCTCGAGACCACTCCGCGCACCACGCTCATGATCAACAGGTCTTTACGCCGCTTATACTGTAACACTGAGCTTGTTGGCTTAAGACCAACACTGAAACCGTGCAACCCGGAATTAAACCGGAGTTGTTGCCGTTAATAATAAGCCTTGTGGGACATGAACGTTTGCGAAACGCCATCACCACACACACACACACACACACAAGTTTGCTCTTGTTATTCTCAACCTCACTTCCTCAAACAAACGTACACATTTCACCTGGACGCTTGCAGACAAACAGGCTAACGCGTTTTATATGAACACATTCATGTTTACGTTTGCGTGTGTATCATATTACACACTTCAACGTCTCCTAGTGACTCGACGCGTACTACGAAACTGCGTGATTGACGTAGACACCCAGTCGACCAATCAGATACCTCTGTAACGCGTCCGACGCGACGCGTCCCTTAAGCGTAATTTGAGACGCCATTTGTTAGTCCACAACACTGTGTAAAGGTGACCATCAGCAGAGGGCGATAATGTGATATGATGGTCAGTTTCATAACTACAGCAGAGCTCTACTCATGAAATGAAGTAGGCCTACAATGATTATGACATTACACAGAGAAGTATCTGACAGAAGATGCACACTTCTGATAGAATGCAAAACAAAGCAGCTTTGTTGATTGTTTTTATTATTATTATTATTATTATTATTATTATAATTGCTGCTGATAAAAAAGTGTTAAACCATCCTTAACTGGTTTGTTTCTTTTAGAGATCAGTCATAAACAAACATATTACACGGTGCTTATATAGATTTATGTCTTTGTAATTAATCATGCTACAATTATGAACAAATATGAACATCTAAATGGATATTATAAATGTGTGCGTGTGTGTGTGTGTGTGTGTGTGTGTTTGTGTGAGTGT